TCGTTGTGGAAGCATAAAAACTGTTAAAGATTCGTTATTCTTTTTTTGACAGAGCTAGATCTACAATTTGCTTGTAATTTTCCACCCAACCTGGAGAGCTAGTTATGACTGTTTACGCTTGGAAAAATACTCATATAATACTAGCTTCCAATATGCAACAGAAACATCTAATGAAAAAGCAGCTACACTTCTGATTGCATTATACTTGGACTAGCAAGAAGCCTTTGTCAAGGTTATCTCCAAGTGTTGTTTGACGTTGTGCCTAGTAGAGCCTATTCCAATTAGGGTATTTTGTGAATGTTAACTGGTTTATAGTCATCATGGTTTGTAATAATTGTTTTTTAAATAGATTAGGTTGATTTGACTCAATAATTATTAGATGTTAGGAAATGTTACCATCTTTGTATGAGAAAAAAATGGTAAAAATATTCAACATTGATTTATCCAGCTACAATGATATTTTACAAAAAGTCTAATTTTAGGAGGCTGAACCAAATTTTGTATGCACGCATATTGTGATGACTGTGTCAGTTATTGATTTCTCTTCATTAATCATCTTTTCTTCTCGTTAGATTAAGTTGATATAGGCTGAAAGATTATTTAGGATCTCCATTACCAATATGGACTAGAATTGAATGAACGATGAGTAGATTATACTCATTCGTCATGAGATAAATTTTGGTTTAGCCTACAAATATGCTACTTCAATTCACAACCTTTTAGTTTGATTAATCAAACGTTTAATATTTTTCAAATTTTGGTAATATAAGCTCAACATTATTCCTAAAAAATGTCATAGGTATTTAGTGCCAAAACTAATCATCGATTTTAAAAACAGCTAAGAACCATGATGATGACAAACCAGTGAACACAAAATGCTTGTAATGGGACTAGGCTTCACTAGGCGCAAGGTGGAATTACCCTGACTAAGGTGGCCTGATATTAGCACTAGTTCCGTACAATGCAGCTTCATTAATGATTGTTAATTGTTTACGATCAGATAAATAACTTGATAAAAGTTCTAAAGGTGTGCCCCTAATACTGTAATATTTTAATTTTTTGTAATAAAATAGAATGATTTATAAGCTGCTTTAATTAACAATAACAGATGTTCATGTAAGCAAATGTATAATAATGTACATCACAGAGTCATATGAGTGGGACCACAGGCACAAAACAGCAGTTACTCACGGCAAAGAGACACATATCAGATCCAAAATTGCTCCAAATTGAAGAAAAAACTAAAGATCCATCCTTGTTCCAGAGTTCCAGGGTATTATTCCTTGCAGTTTGTCAGCTTTGAAACGTTAATCATGAAGAAAAATTCGCGAAAAATAAAGCGAAATCACAGAGCAAATTGTAGTTCAAAGTATAAGGGACACCTAGTTTTGACCATACAATTCCACCATTGAAACACCATTGACCATACAATTCCACCATTGGCACACCATTGACCATACAATTCCATCATTGAATCGCCATTCACCATACAGACTCTACCATTGAAACACCATTGACCATACAATTCCACCATTGAAACACCATTCACCATACAATTCCACCATTGAAACACCATTCACCATATAATTCCACCATTGAATCACCATTCACCATACAGACTCTACCATTGAAACACCATTGACCATACAATTCCACCACTTGCACACCATTGACCATACAATTCCACCATTGAAACACCATTCACCATACAGACTCTACCATTGAAACACCATTGACCATACAGACGCCACCATTGAAACACCATTCACCATACAGACTCTACCATTGAAACACCATTCACCATACAATTCCACCATTGAAACACCATTGACCATACAGACTCTACCATTGAAACACCATTCACCATACAGACGCCACCATTGAAACACCATTCACCATACAATTCCACCATTGAAACACCATTTACCATACAGACTCTACCATTGAAACACCATTCATCGTCATACACCACCATTGAAACACCATTCACCATACAGAATCCACCATTGGCACACCATTGAAATATCATTTACCATTGATCCTACCATTCAAACACCATTCATTTACCATTAGGTTTTTTTGTCTTCCGTTACCGAGATAATTAATATGCACATTCTTAAACTACTTAACTATAATGATAATTTTTTGGGGGAGAATTAAAGGCACTTATATAGGTATTATATCTGTACTGTTTCACATCTTATACTAATAAAACAGTTCTTTTAGTATGAACCTGAAGTTCAAAAATCTTGTCTGAGTGTCCTTCCGTTACCGTGGAATTGCCCATAATCATCTTTAGAATAAAATATGCAGCTTCGGTGGTGCGTAACTCCATAAGGATATCTCGTCACCTATGTCATACTGTACGTGCTGCTATATTCAAAACTATCACAGAAGTTGAGCTCCCCGAGTCCAAGCTGACGACAGATGTTCGAGATATACTGATACCGAGACAACCAATCATAATTATAATAATAAAGATACAATTTACTCCAACTGCCACTTGCTAGCTTGACCTCTACATAGCCTGAATACTGATCAGGTCCGCCTACGAGCTGCAAACCCGCATCACCTGCATTAAGAAAGAAGAAAAGGTTCGGCGATTAAATGAGAAGTTTCGTGTTGTATAACGGCGTTCCGATTAGTTTCCAATATTAGATATATACCAAATCTAAGGTACACTTATGATTGATTATCAAGTATTTGAGTCACGTTTTTTATCTCAAATTATTTAAATATGTATTACCAAGTGTGATTAAGAGAAACAATGTAAATGTATTTCATATCATTTCATTCCATTACACTCCTCCCGAACATCGTACCAAAAAAACAAAATATTCTGAAACCACAAAGATATTTATGGTTTTCTATGAAGGGGTCACTGTGCGACACCTTAGCTGCCTTACATTTAGGGGTTGGTTGTGCCGTGAGCTTTTCCGCAATAGATCTTGAAGTTTTGTGCGTCATTTTCATCATACGGATTATGATGAATTTAACCCCCAAAATTGTTTTCCTTAGGATAAAATATGCAACTCCGTAAGAAAATCTCGACACCTTTGTCATACTGTACGTGCCGCTATATTAAAATTTAAAAATATCCTACCTGTTGAGATCCCCGAGTTTAAGCTGACAACAAATGTTCGAGATTCTGAAAAGCAGACAAATCGCCATAATAATAACGAAGATACAATTTACTCCAACTGCAACTTACCAGCTTGACCTCTATCTAGCCTCTTGTCGAAGGCCCTGGCGCTGTTGGATTCCGTGGATTCTTGCGAGCGAAGCGAGCCAGATACGAGGCGCTTTTAAAACGCCTGTCGCAATTTGGCGGATTTTTGCATTGTTTATGCCCGCTCTTGAAACTTCAATATGATTCTGGATTTCGCTCACGTGACATTCCTCTCTTCCGTGCTCATGTGACGTTCCTCTCTTCCGTGCTCACGTGACATTCCTCTCTTCCGTGCTCACGCATGCAGGGCACCGACAAGTGGCGGATGCGCACTACTCCCCTAAACATGTAGACAGTGTTTGGAATGTGTAAATCGGCCTGCAGCCTCTTTGTCGTTAACAAAGAATACATGCAATTTTCACACTGCATCGATTCATTTGAACCGGAACCTAGGTGTGTGTCGATTATAGAAATCAGCACCAATGTGAGTTTGTTTTCCAGCTTCCGGGATGGAGTCATCTACGAAAGCGCCAATATTATCTGGTAATGGCTTGAAGTTAAGCGAACATTCGTTAGACATCATTTCGTTATACTGCCTTCATTTCCATATCGAAACAATTGGATATAGTTATACTTTTTTTTACGACGAAGAGGCTGCAGGCCCATTTACACATCCCAAACACCGTTTAGCTTTTTAGGGGAGTAGTGCGCATCCGCCACTTGTCGATGCCCTGCATCCGTGACACGGAGGCGGGGAATGTCACATGAGCAAAATCTGAAATCGTACTGAAGTTTTAAGAGCGGGCATCAACAACGCAAAAATCGGTGAAATTGCGACAGGCGTTTTAAAAGACCACACTCAAGAGACGGATTTTTCGATTTCGAATTTTCGTGTGAGTTAAATCGTCAATTTTGGGTTGTAGTGAAAATCCAGCTTACAATGGTGATGATTTTCTACCGCAGGAATTCACAATGCACCCGGGGGTACTCATATTTGGTTTGGATGGGGGTGTTCCGCTGAAGTCCCGAAACCCCTACCCATTTGTAATAGCCATTTTGGAGGGTTTTGACAAAATTGACCCATCTTTAATGATATTTTTGCTAAAAATGGGACCCACGTTTAGGGATTTTTTTGTATGAAGAAGTGCCCCATTAGAGCGGCACACCTCCATATGTATTAATATGTGAGTACCACCAGCCCCCAGGGCAAATGCATTCGGCATAGGATCGACGCCGTTATGTGAGGTGGCGCGAGATGTACGGGCGATGGCGCCAACCAAGTTGAACGTTATATTGGAGATGGGTCGATTTTAAGTACACTCACTTTCCCTACTTGTTGTCGACGATATTATATTAGATGGCGCTTACAATAGCATTCAAGACATTCGCAAACTACGTTTATTTCCAGTAGTATAAATGGCAATGCTAAAATTCATTTGGGATGTGTAAATGGGCCTTTTGACGTCCATTATATCATTGTGTCACTGTACTAACCAAGCAGCCGCATTACAAATAAAGGGTGCACACACGCTCAGGCATCCTTTAAACGGACCTGGACATGTTGTTTGTCTTCTTTATCATAGTTAGTATGATAGTTAAATCCCCCAAATATAATCATCTTTAGAATAAAATATGCAGCTTTGGTGGTGCGCAACTCCGTATTACATCTCGTCACCTTTGTCATACTGTACGTGCTGCTATATTCAAAACTATCCCAGAAGTTGAGCTCCCCGAATCCAAGCTGACGACAGATGTTCGAAATAATATACTGATACCGAGACAAATCCCAACCATAATAATAAAGAAACAATTTACTCCAACTGTTACTTACCAGCTTGACCTCCACCCAGCCTGAATACTGATCAGGTCCGTTTGTGAGCTGCAAACCCGCATCACCTGCATTAAGGAAGAAAAAAAAAAGTTCGGAGTTTAAATAATAAGTTCCGTGTAATATATAAATGCGTTCCGATTAGTTTTTAATATCAAATATATACCATATCTAAGGTACACTCATGATTATTTATCAAGTATTAGAGTCACGTTTTTTCTCTTGAAATTGATCAAATATGTATTGCCAAGTTTGATTAAGAGAAACGATGTTAATGCATTTCGTACTGTTCCATTCCATTACAATCCTCCCCAACATCGTACTAAAAAACAAAATATTCAAATTGAAGATTAAGCTTTGTGCGTAATTGTAATGGGGGGAATAGAAAGTAATATATATCCATTCCCGTTTATCTAATGTTTTAAACCTTGCCCTAACCAAGTTTTACATGTGGTCTTAACCGACAGAATAAACCTCCCTAAAACATATTGAAAGATCAGATCCATCCTAGCTTCTGTTTATCACAAATCCAAAAAAACAAAATACCCGGTAAAGGATAACACATTTCCCCTGTCAAGAGTGTCTAAGAGTGTCTACTCTGTCGGTTACGGTAGCATTACAATCTGTCGATTGCCTATGGAATTCATCTACCAAAAGGTGTTTCCACACTGCATCAACTAATTTGAACAAAAAAAACTAGGTCAGCGCCGATTATAGAAGTCAGCACCAATTTGGGTTTGTTTTTCAGCCTCTGGGATGGTGTCATCGACGAAAGCGCACATTGCATCTGCCAATGGACCGACGTTCATTTTATAAACATGATAAAGCAGTAAAGATAGTACTTAAAGGTACAGGTAGATAGTACTTAAAGAGACAGGTAGTGGTAAATTTGCGGTTCAAGGGTTTGGGCGCAAAATATCCATTCAATATTGTTTAATTTTTGCTTTCAGAGGTTTAGATAGCAATACTGCAACCTGAATTCGCAAAAAAAGCAGAAATATATGCCCAATATCCAGGCCGGATCGATATGATAATTTACTTAATATATCAATTAGTAGAAGGTTTCCCGGCAAAATTTGTATCATCACGTATTAGTCAAAACATATTCTTTTACAAGATTGGTAATAAGAGCTTCCATTTCATTTTTGAGAGGGGGTGTTTCCAAAACTGGTCAATACCTTTGATCATTATTAGTTTCGATTCTCCATCTCCAAATCGAAATGCATTAGGAGTAATCTTTGTCGGTGTCAAAGACGCTATGACGATGATATTTATCTACCAAGGGAATTCAATGGAATCTGGCCAAGGATCGGCGCTGTTATATGAGATGAAGCCAGCTGTACAGACGAGGGCGTGAACTAACATTGTGGGAGATGGTTCGATTTTAAAGGGACTCGGTAACATTCTTAAAGGTTGATGAAAAACTGCGTAATATATTTGTATGAAATTTTAGTCATTATATTCCTTCTACCGTACTAACCCTCGAATATGCAAAAGATCCTGAACAAATTATCAAACCACAAAGATATTATTGGTTTTCTTTGAAGGTGTCACTGTGTTACACCTTAGCCGTCTTAGATATAGGAGTTGGTTTTGCAGTGGGGCATCTCCGCAAAAGATCTTGAAGTTTTGTGTGACATTTTCATCTAACGGAATATGATGAATTAAACTCCCCAAAATTGTATTCCTTAGGATAAAATATGCAGCTTCGGTGGTAGGCAACTCTGTACGGAAATCTCGTTACCTTATTCATACTGTACGTGCTGCTATATTAAAATAAAAATATTCCACCAGTTAATATTCCCAATTTAAGCTAACGACAGATGTTGGAGATATACTGATAACCATACAAATCCCCATAATAATAACGAAGATACAATTTACTCCAACTGCAACTTACCAGCTTGACCTCTTTCCGGCCTGAATACTGATCAGGTCCGTATCTAAGCTGCAAACTCGGATTACCTGTAAAAAGAAAGAAATACAGTTTTGTAAATTAAATGAGACGAAATATGATGTTGTCATGGCATTACGAATTAATTTTTAAAAAAATGATATACTTATATATATATATATATATATATATTTGTTCTACCCCAATTTATGGAATTATTTTGACAATGATGTATTCCTAATTGATCTAGATAATAGTATACATTCTCATATTTCATTAAATAATAATATTCCAGTGTTTGTTTTGCGTGACTGCTAAAGCATGTGTATGCTACAATGCCTATCAAGTAGGGTACCTACGCCCTTAAGTAATAAATGACAGTAATAAGGATTAATGCTCCTCAAAAAACCAATTTTAGTTCATTTGAAATTGCAAACCTCATTAATGAACATGTTTGTAGTATAGCGGTAGACTTACAAAACATTCCAAGATCACATTTACCTACATTTTTGTCTGCCCGATACAACTGTCCCCTAGTACAACCATGGCAAGTGTATGAATACCTACGTTCTCTTAGTCAAGGTAACGCCGGAATTACTGGGGATATTCCTGTTTGGATCATTCGCGAATTTGCCTATGAATTTTCAGTCCCACTTACAGATATTCTTAATGTATCATTCCAACAATATGAGGCTCCATTACAATGGAAATGAGCAGAAATAGTTCCTGTTCCTAAGATGCAGCCAACGACCCTTTTGTACCTTAGGCCTGACGAGCTATTGTGGTAAGATAGCCGAATTGTTTATTGTAAAGTGGCTGTTGTAAGAAATTACCAAAAAATATTGATCCTAATCGAGTCAGTTTGGAAAACGTAGAGGCTTATCGACGACACATTACCCCATTGGTTAGATACACCATGTATTGGAGAATGCAGAAAGGGTGATAATTACATCAATAATATTGACTACAGACTATTCGAAAGCCTTTGATAGAATAAATCAAAAGTTTTAGTCCAAAAACTCCAAATTCTCGATGTTGGACCATGGCTTATTAACTGGAAAGTGAGCTTTTGGGATAAATTGTTGCAGTGTTTCAAATATAATGGAGATAAATCAAACTGGAATGTCATAAATACAGAAAGGGGGTAATCATCCTCGGGGATTAATTGTCTAAGGGGGAAGTTGTCCTCGGGGGGGGAGGTAATTGTCCTCGGGGGTAGTTATCCTCGGGGGGTAAGTGTCATCAGGGAGTAATTGTCCGGGGGGTAATTTTCCGGTGGGTAATTGTCCTTGGGGGGTAATTGTCATCGGGGGGTTATTCTCCGGGGGGTAATTTTCCGGGGGTGATTGTCTTTGGGGGTAATTTTCCGGGGGTGATTTTCCAGGGGGTGATTGCCCAGGGGTAGTTGTCCTGATACGCTTTTAATAATGTATAAATGTACAATATATGATTAAAAATTTTATCATATTCAATGTTTAATACGCAACAAACAATGATTTAGTTTTAACGTAGGTAACTATGTGTTTCGCAACACATTACTGAATATGTTTATCTTTGTACAGAGCCATCAATATATAATGATGAGTGTACTTACGGTTGATGAACTGTAAACATAGAGCAACATTTTGCCGACTTTAAATTTTCAATGAATATTAATTGTCTACTTTGCACTTTGACTACTTTATTTCGACGATTTGATATAAGATGGCGCTGAAAATAATGTTCAAGACAATAGCCAACTATGTGTATTCCAAGTAGTATAAATGACAATGCGAACATTCGTTTGAGATGTGTAAATGGGCCTTTTGACGTCCATATATCATTGTGTCACTGTCACTACCAAGCAGTCGTCTTAGAAATACAGGGTGTACACACGCTCGGGCACCTCTTAACGGATCTGGAAATGATTTTTGTCATCTTTATCAAAGTTAGTATGATAAATAAACCCCCCAAATATAATCACCTTTAGAATAAAATATGCAGCTTCGGTGGTGCGCAACTCCTTAATGACATCTTGTCACCTTTGTCATACTGTACGTGCTGCTATATTCAAAACTATCACAAAAGTTGAGCTCCCCGAGTCCAAGCTGACGACAGATGTTCGAGACATACTGATACCGAGACAACCAATTATAATCATAAGGATAAAGATACAATTTACTCCAACTGCCACTTGCCAGCTTGACCTCTACAAGGCCTGAATACTGATCAGGTCCGTTTGTGAGCTGCAAATAGTCATCACCTGCATTAAGAAAGAAAAAAAGGTTCGGCGAATAAATGAGAAGTTTCGCGTTGTATAACGGCGTTCCGATTAGTTTTCAACATCAGATATATACCATATCTAAGGTACACTTATTATTACTTATCAAGTATTTTAGTCACATTTTTGTCTCAAATTATTTAAATATGTATTACCAAGTGTGATAAAGAGAAACAATGTTAATGTATTTCATATCATTTCATTCGATAACACTCCTACCGAACATCGTACCCAAAAAACAAAATATTCTCAAACCACAAAAAAGTTATGGTTTTCTATGAAGGTGTCACTGTGCGACACCTTAGCTGCCTTACATTATAGGGGGTTGGTTGTGCAGGGGGAGCATCTCCGCAATAGATCTTGAAGTTTTGTGTGTCATTTTCATCATACGGATTATGATGAATTTCACCCCAAAATTGTATTCCTTTGTCATACTGTACGTGCCGCTATATTAGAATTTAAAAATATCCTACCTGTTGAGATCCCCGAGTTTAAGCTGACAACAGATGATCGAGATTCTGAAAAGCAGATAAATCGCCATTATGGTAATAATAACGAAGATACAATTTACTCCAACTGCAACTTACCAGCTTGACCTCTACCTAGCCTCTTGTCGAAGGCCCTGGCGCTGTTGGAGTCCGTAAATTCTTGCGAGCGAAGCGAGCCAGATATGGGGCGCTTTTATCGATGTTGTGGAATCGATCAGAAAAGGTTGATCATCTAAGCATATAAGTATTCGTGTGTACTGCAAGGTTCTGGAATCATCAAAATGATAGGAAATTTAGCCCAGTCTTCGTAAATTTACAAGCACTGTACACAGGAAGATGTATATGGGACTACGCACAAGTGCGCGACACATGCGTTATATCTATCACGTCTAAATAGATCAAATAATTTACCAAATATATCAATTAGTAGGCGGTTTCCCGGCATTTTTTTTTATCATCATGTATTAGTCAAAACATTTTCTTTCAAATGATTGGTAATAAAAGCTTCCATTTCATTTTTTGAGAGGGGGCGTTTCCAAAACTGGTCTATACTTTTAAAGCTTATCTGCAGTAGTTTACAGGATAGATTAGACCGCTCTGCAATGTCACTGGACAGGTGGTTATCTCATCAACTCAGCTCTCAGTTAACTTAAGAAAAAGAGGATCATGGGGGAACAATGGTCACCGATTAGGCATTGTTTGTTATATAGAGGGCGCAAGTACATACCAGTAGTGCAGTGGGCCTTTAAAACGCCTGTCGCAATTTGACGGATTTTTGCAGTGTTTATGCTAGCCTTTGGACAAGGCCTCGCGCGCTGCTTGACTGCTGAGCAGGGCCTGAAAATAGACTAACGCGGTGTGGCTTTACAGCAGTGATCGCTGGACCGAGCCGCTTCAGCGGCTTGGCCTTTGCTAAATTGCGGAGCTTATCATATATGTGCATATGCATGAGGCCTAAAATAAAAAATTGTTGTATTGCCCTTTGCGACCGACCCAAAAATCTGAAAATCTACGGTCGGCATTATAATTTATTTATTTTTTTAACCGTTTTTTTAGAATTTTTTTGGATTAATGAATAAAAAATGTTTTTTGTTTGACTTGGATATAAATGCATGAAATCAAATTATTCCAAACAATCTTCACATTGCTAGCAAGTTTTACAGGTAGTTGAAAACCAACTTCGTCAGCAGGAAAGCATAGAGTGTTGTCTCAACACAACATTGCAAACCATGGATTATTATGAGGTAGAAAATATATGAATGAAATGATGACTCTGAAACACATGTATTAAAGCATTAAAGACTGAGAAATATCAGCCAAAAGAGGGCGGGAAAAAAGAAAGAAAAAAATTCAAAACTTAAAAATATCGGCCCAAGGAGGGCGACAAAAAAAACCAAAAAAAATCCGACCGACCGACCCATGTTTTGGCACCTAAAGGGCAATACAACAAGTTTTTATTTTAGGCTTGAGGGTCTTACATATAAAGCAGCTAGTGATGATCGTGGCTAATCGTAATTGTTCTAACCGCGCGGTGTTTAACAATGGCTTCGTCCATGAAATTGTGGGGGAATCGGTATTCAAATGTACTAAAAATAAAAGATATGTCTAGTTCAATTTCGAGTAAAATATAAATTTATCAAAAACTATATACTACTTATTTACTAGGGTATTCATTATTTTGCTACTTTAGTAGATTTATAGTAAAATTTTGCTCCCTTGTTATTCATTTTAACCTACGCATAGAGTAGATAGTGGTTCGCGCGATCAGCTGGTCGGAATTGTTATTGTACAACATGTGAATATCTGTGTACGTGAGAAAACGATGCGTTTATGGAGCTTTGAATTTGCAGGGCTAGCTGAGCTAGCTTCATGCTAGTGAATTAAAATAATGAAAAGGACATCAAATTCTGGTAATTCTGCTTATAATATAATAGATGTGCAAAAAGGGTAGATATCTTCTATGCAGGACATTCTGCATGGTTCCTGTGCAAGAGTTTTCCTAGGCATTTCTTATAATGCAGATATCATTTTCTTGTGTGTGACAAGTTTGGTTCACATTCTTTCATTAAAGAAATAAGAGTTGAAACGATAACTTCAATGGACAGTGCAGTGCAGTGTGAGTAGTACCTCCCGGTCCGCCGAACTCTGGGCAGCTTCGGCAGGAGACGCCAATGGGGATGCATGGTGTGCTGGCAGCGACTGTGGTCGTCCGCACAAAGAAATCCTTGCACAGTGGAATGGCTTAAAATATCGCAGATTTGCCATAACCGGTTGGAAGATTAACAAATACATCTTCCCCTTTTACTGCTGATTTTATAGCTTTTGATTGTAACTCCTTAACAGATGAAAATTTCAACCTTTTGGCCGCACATTCAAGGCTCTTTGATAAGAGATCTACTTCGTCGCTCGCCATGTTCTGTAACTGCTCAAAAATGTATTTATGAATATATATGTTGATAATGAATATTCATGAAGTTTTCTCGAATCGTCTACTCTGATTGGTGCGTCGGATTGGCAGGTGCGGTTTGGCCGGCTTTCTGGGTAAGATACTTTGCATCTAATTATCTACCAATTTGGTAGCTGAAATATGATACAAAACAAAAGAAATAAACTACAACAACCACTCAGGTTATTAAAGGCCGAGATGCTGACGCACCTCGTCCCAAAGATCACAGTCGTCGCACGATTAGTCTATGTATTTAGAGAAATACAGCACGAGTGCCTTGACTAAAGGCTATGTTTATGCCCGCTCTTGGAGCTTCAATATGATTCTGGATTTTGCTCACGTGACATTCCTCTCTTCCGTGTCATGCATGCAGGGCACCGACAAGTGGCGGATGCGCACTACTCCCCTAAACATGTAGACAGTATTTGGAATGTGTAAATGGGCCTATCAGCACCAATGTGAGTATGTTTTCCAGCTTCCGGGATGGAGTCATCTACGAAAGCACCAATATCATCTGGTAATGGATCAAAGCTAAGCGAACATTCGTTAGACATCATTTATGTATACTGCCAAATCGAAACAATTGTATGTATGTAAAGAGGCTGCAGGCCCATTTACACATTCCAAACACTGTCTACATGTTTAGGGGAGTAGTGTGCATCCGCCACTTGTCGGTGTCCTACATGTGTGACGCGGAAGCGAGGAATGTCACGTGAGAAAAATCCGAAATCTTACTGAAGATTCAAGAGTGGGCATAAACAACGCGAACATCCCCATATGTTTTAATATGTGAGTACCCCCAGCCCCCAGAGCAAATGCATTCGGCCTAGAAACGGCACCATTATCTGAGGTGGCTCGAGCTGTACAGGCGATGGCGCCATCCAAGTTGAACGTTATATTGGAGATGGTTCGATTTTAAGTGCACGCACTGTACCTTTTTTTTGATCGACGATGTTGGCGCTAAAAAAATGTTCAAAACAATAGCAAACTATTTTTTATTCCCAGTAGTATAAATGTCAGTGCAAAAATTTGTTTGGGATGTGTAAATAAGCCTTTTGACGTCCATATATCATTATGTCACTGTCACAACCAAGCAGCCGCATTAGAAATACAAGGTGTGTACACACGCTCGGGCACCCTCTAAACGGATCTGGAAATGATTTTTGTCATCTTTATCATAGTAATTGTGATAATTAAACCCCTAAAATATAATCATCTTTAGAATAAAATATGCAGCTTCGGTGGTGCGCAACTACGTAAGGACATCTCGTCACCTTTGTCATACTGTACGTGCTGCTATATTCAAAACTATCCCAGAAGTTGAGCTCCCCGAATCCAAGCTGACGACAGATGTTCGAGATATACTGATACCGAGACAACAAATCATTATAATAATAATAAAGATACAATTTACTCCAACTGCCACTTGCCAGCTTGACCTCTACATAGCCTGAATACTGATCAGGTCCGTATTTGAGCCGCAAACCCGCGTCACCTGCATTAACGAAGAAAAAAAAGGTTCGGAGATTAAATAATAAGTTTCGTGTTATTTAACGGCGTTCCGTTTTCAATATCAAATACATACCATATCTAAGGTACACTTATGTTTATTTATTAAGTATTTGAGTCACGTTTTTTGTCTCAAAATTATTCACATATGTATTGCCAAGTGTTATTAGGAGAAACAATTTTAATGTACTTCATATTATTCCATTCCATTACACTCCTCCGGAACATCGTACCAAAAAAACAAAATATTCAAATTGCAGATTAAGCTTAGTGCGTAATTGTAATCTGGAAAAAGAATAACTCATATATATCCATTCCCGTTTATCGAATGTTTTAAACCTTACCCTGACCAAGTATTACATGCGGTCTTAAACGACAGAATACTCTTCCCTAAAACATATTGAAAGATAAGATCCATCCTAGCTTCTATTTATCTCATCTCATAAGGAAAAAAATACCCGGTGAAGGATAGCAGATTTTCCCCTGTCAATAGTGTCTAAGAGTGTCTACTCTCTCTCTGCTACGGTAGCATTACAATCTGCTAGTCAGTTTTTGTGCACATAGCACTTTACCAGAGATAGGACACTTGACTGCACTGTTGCCTACTGGTGGAGTTTCACCAATGACTGTGATTTACGGTTTCATTTTTATATTCTATTATTAGTATGGAAATCAATAGGCCTATTACAACATTCAAAGAGTTAATTGTATATTATATTATACATCTATTTTTACTTCCAAGTCACTTACCTGGGGGAGGATAGCAGACTATGCCCTTGTCATTTCTACTACTTGATCGGGTTGTCGGGAGTACGTTGCATTCTGAGAGCCGATTTTCATGGCCGTAACACTTTACCCTAGACAAGCAACTGGCACCGGTTCCAGCAGGTGGACCACCAACGACCGTGATACCGTAGGGGTAGCCCTTGCCTAACTCCCGGCAGACCACCTCAGCATCGTTCATGTCCCAGTCAGAAGCACAAATGGTCCCCCATGCGCCATTAATATACACGTCTACACGGCCGGCATGTGGATAGTGGCTCGATCCCTTTTCCATAAACCTCACTTGATATTCTGTCATTTTAAGCAGAAAAGACACGTTATTGATGTACCGATCCAGGATTCGAAAAAACAGTAAAATAATAAATAGTATTCTATTGTATCGCAGATCTGAAAGGTTTGCCTTTTATTCATTTTCCAAATTTATCAGTAAGTCTGGTTAGAAAGGGTGATTTCATTAATTAACGCCGGTGCCTTTTCGGAGTTCATTGTTTCTTACGATATATGTTTAACAAACTTGAGAAGATTGACACCTTTGTAATCGTATCGTAAGTTGTAAACACGTTGTTTGGGAAAAGTGGGCTAGATCTATAGTACAAGTACATTTATTCACTGTAGTAAAGCCTCAAGGTTAGGGAATTTGATTTCAACAGAAATGGTTATCTATTTCATAACAGAGAAATGAAATAATTTATTTTAGTGTGATTAAAGCGCGAAGGACGAATGATTGACAATTCATATCTGTAAACATCCGAGGTGCATGCATACATTGCAAATAAAAAAATCAGTATGATTCTTGTATTATTCAACAATATGTCCAGAGCAAGAATCGAACAGAGACTGGGATAATACTCACGACGTATCGCTGATGACACGGAGAAGAGGCCAAGAAGAAAACATAAAACCAGTTTCAACTCCATCGTTGTCATCTTCAGATCAGACACACAGCAAGAAGAACTAATTAATGACAAAAAAATGTATTCGTCATCCTTCTAATATATGCGTCCAGTGCAGAAATGGTAACGCGCGGAAACGTGCGAGAACAATTGGCGCGCACACGTAATTGTTGTTTCAACGGCCAATGAGGAAATACAGAAAGATAAACAAACTTCGCTGGAAAGAGTAATTATACCAGAGAAAAACAGGAAGTACCCACTTTCAATGCGTCAACCGATATTATTGTATCATTATCAATATGTTTAACCAGGATCTTTGTTTGTAATGCCTTTGAGTAAAATATTAAAAAAACATAATTGCCAAAATAAAGAAAAATTCTTCATATTAAATTACATCTGTCAATAGAAAGTCGATATCAAAATGTCAGTGTGTCACATGCCATCTTTATTATTGATATAGATATATATTTCTGGGATCCTGCCAATAAGGAAATAACGAAATGGGTGTCCATGTCTTTTTTTTTAGTATTCTTCTTTTTCAACGTTTGTTGGTTTGTTTTTAACATATTTAGTGACAAGGTTCAGTATTAATTTTCGAGACCTAAATCCTAATACTCGTTAGGATGTTTCAAAGATCACAACAAATTATACTTTTTCGCCATTACACTAATTTCACTACAATTTCCAAAATAGAAGTATACCTCTAAACAACGATTTCTTTTTGAAAAGATAATTCAATTTCTACCAGCTGTTAAATATGAAAAATAGCTTGAATGGTTATGTTTCGAGTAAACGATTTTGCTTTACTCATAAATATGCTCTTCAAACTGATATACTTTTTATGTGTTGCATCTACTAAATACAACAGGTTAAAGTATGCTTCATATTCAAACTGCATTCATGGTTTATTTCATTCAATTTAGGAAAAAATATTGCTAGTGTATTTGATATCAGCATTATCAATGGAATGAAAATTCTATTCGTGGAGAAAAGTTGATAACCGATAAAAACTGCATCAGTTTCCAGAAGTATTTTGAGATGTTACGCAGTGTTAAGATATTCTAATTTAATCCTGTTGGTTCTTTCATATTCTGGTTTTATTTTTGGTAACAAAATTAGATCGGTATTATATTCTATTTACGTTATCTTTCACAAATTCAATTAAATAGATGTTCGTGTACACGTACTTCAACATGTGCTACGAGAACGTAACTGCTAAGAAATAAGTTATATTAAATAAGGAACACGAATTTCAAATTGCTTTTAACAAACAAGGAAGGAAATCGAAGAAATTTGATGATCACGCTTTACGTTTCAAATCCTTCCAGGCTCCATTTCGAAACAGGCACAAAGCCAAAGTATTATTATCAAGCTAAAACATCATAAACAAACCTCTTGAAGGCTTGTATGATCTTTCAGGTTTATCTTTCAGCAACGTCACGACAACTTACATAACTAAAATAAAATATAACTAGCTCAACAAAGAGCAGAGCGAGATAGATATGGTATTACTGTCCGAATCGTTGTAGTCATTCATACAATGTTTCTGCCCTTGGTTGAAATGATATCTATGAGTAAATGATTGGTCCTCAATGTAATAAACGAATCATTTACAATACATAATCCTCGAAACATGGCAATTTGGAATGAGGAAATAAATATAAGGATATTATAAATGATAAGTTCATTAAAAAAAGTAAGACATCCATATTACACGGGAAAGGATTTAAACATATCTAGGTTTTGTTTTAATCATTTTGAAATGGCTCTTTATTTTGTTTAATCAGATGTGTTTGTAATTGCAGGATAATTCAAATAACAGATAAACAGTATTCAATTTTGATTTTGAAAAGAGTATACACATATTTTTTTCAAAAGCAGTTTCAATCTATAGACTGGCGAGAGGAAAGAGTCATTTGAGCGCATCACTTTCTATTTAATCAACATTCTTTGAGACAAAGACATTCAAAAGAAAACGTTCAGGAGTAAGTATATATCCGGAATATATTTTGCCTCAATACAATCAAGAAGAGGAGTTTCGTTTAATATTATGCCATGTACATGTATGGTAGTGCCTATAATTATTAACAGTGAATCTTCATGATAGTTTTTCCTTGCATGATTATATAATGAGATCCTTTGAAATGTTTCTGATTTTACATCTTTCAGGAGGCTTTCTGGACAGCGTGACATAATTGCAACAAACCACGTGATGTATAACATCGTATAGCCTGGCTATGACAGTCCGACCAAATAACTACAAACAAGAGCTATATAGGTCTTTGACTCTACCCTCTAACCATGTCTGATAGGATCTGGAAATATTCTGTAACAGTCATACTATAAATCTAAGCATTTCTCGCAGTAGAGCAACCGGTTGGTCATACAGTATTCAATTAAATGTATATGTTAAGAATTAACCAATGGCTAGGATATCCTAAATGATTAGCGTTTCCTTTGTATTTTGGGGGGAAATTGTAACATGTCGAAGACAATACGCATATGTATATTTGACGGCTTTTAGCTCAAAACTGTTAATATTAATGGATAATATTTGTAGAAAGTTTAGAGATGGGACATGTGTACATGGGTGTAGTGGAATGTAGGCCTATGCTGCTAAAGAAAACACATCGGAACTTGAGAGAGTATGACAAAGTATCACATCAGAGTCATAATACGTAATGTTAATTGATCACTTTGATTTTCTTTTAATTTCCTTTACAAATATCGACAAAATTAGTCTGAAATGTATAACAGTGAAATGATTAAAAATACATTTAGCAAACGATATGAAAAACATCGTGAACACGATATTTGGTTAACAAATGGGGCGGTTGTGTGTTTTTGTGTTTGCTGTTATTTGGGGGAGGGGGACACAAAGACTTTCTATGTTTGTATTGATATTTCAATTTTTGGCATTTCTCTTTTATCTAGATACATCTATTATATAAATAAATATATTTGACAATTCACCGATCTTACATTGTTATTGTTCATTTCACAATAGTATAAAGATACATGTATTGACATTATACTGATGCTATAAAGTATAAATTTATTAATATAATATTGAAATATTGAATAATAAAACGCTACTGTCACAGTGCTGCATGTTTTCACGACTTTCATTTTTAAGAGTGTGTTGTGAGATGAGTATTTGTCATCAGATATACACAGTTTAATGAAACACTGTAGGTCCAGTATTTTTAACTTACTGATCAATATTCGTCATCAAGTTATTCCAATAAATTATTAAGAAACGTGTTAACCAGTAGAAGAGAGAGAGATAATACTAGAATGTGAGGGAAATATATTAACTTCATCGTTTGATTATCAAACCGGCATGTAGGGATCCGTCAACTTTCAGCAGTTTTCTTACACTTTTGACTGTATACAATTTGATTCATCATTTGCATGCGTTTATATCAACAGGATAAGCAGCAATTAATCGAGAACCAAACATTTTAGTGATGTCTATTTAGGATAATGTATTTTCTTCTCATGGATTCAGACATATGATTCTTGAAGTTCGTCTGCACTCCTTTTTGAATGAAGCAAACCGAAACAAGGATTAAAATATTGTACACAGCAGCGTATTTTTCACCTTTTAAAAAAATATAACTACGCAATCGTTCTCAACAGAAGGTCGAAGAAGATAAAAATAAAAATGTACATCTTTCATTTAAAAATATAATTGCTAAGCTTATTTTACCGACGTAGCAGTCTCTCTATTTCTTTCTTTTTCAATTTCTTTCAATTTGGTTTTGGAAAGGGAGAGGAATAAATCTAATCACGAATTTCATGACATATTTAGATTATGTCTTCGGCGTAATTACCAAGATATAAAGAGTAGAAAAGGACTTAAAAATAAAAATTTCATTTTAGGTTCCGGTTCTTCATTCCAATTTAACGCCCTCAACTGTGTCATTTAACAATCTTCGGATATCAAACCCCGTTATGTCAGAGCAAAGTTATCATTTTTTCAATATTAACGCCATCGTACAAATGGGTGTCATATATGAGCGGTCTATTAACGCTCGTTTAGACAGGTATTGCCGTAAAAGCATCGACCTTTCTCCCAAATGACGATGAATTTCAGGTTGTAAAATCAAACAAATTAGGCTACAAGCAGAGACAATAGACATACTTGTACTTGGTGGTACATCTCATGACATCACACATTTTACCAATTTATGATCTAACAAAGAACAAAAAGTAAAACAAGAATAATACTCTTATAAGTCGAAGTTAATACTCAAGTAACAATAGAGTATCGCATAATAAATTCAAATTAAATTCAGTCAAGCAAAATTTATGAAATTTATGAATCAACAAACCATAAAAGCCACACACCTGGTCAATTTGAAAGAAAAAATGTTTAGAATATCTTGTCTTACGTGGCAGACAACGTCATGGTCGACATCAGATACATGTTTCGGAGGCCAACTGTGGATGGAAATAGGCTAGCGTGCCTTACTTTGGTCATCCAATGAGCATGAAGGAAAGTTTTTGTTTCATCGGATCAGATGTGAAAATAGAAATGGCGCCATACATCTGGCTCCATGCCAGAGAAAAGGAGGAGGAAACAGATGGCGAAACCTCTGCTATGAAAACGTAATTAAAGATGACCACTTATTATTTCGGACTTCAAAACTGTTGCAGTATGAAGTACTTCCTTGTATGACAAACAAGTTATGTCAATAGGCTGAAAGATACTCTGATACATGTCATGATATTTGACAAGAAAGAGAATTTTAAAAAAAGACCCAATAACTTTGTAAAGAGTCTTTACATATTTCCTTGATGAAAATTTAGCTACGTTCTTGAAATTGTCATTGATTCTATCGGTCATAATAAAATGTAAGATATTTGAGAAAAAAATTCTTGTGATATGATTGATACATTGATAGCTAGCGTAAGGCTCAGTTAATTGAGATCGTATTTAGTACAAACCACGGAAATAGAATGGTTCTGGGGCAAATAAAGAAAATAATGTATGTTAATTATCGGATGGGATAAGTAATTGGTGAGAGGAGTGCCTTATTTCTCATTCGGCAAAAAAAAAATCC